TAATTTCTTTTTCTATATTTCTTTTCCTTTCTTGCTTTTTTTTAATACTTTCTTCTTTATTTTCTTTTGTTATCACTTGCTGTTCTTTGTTTTGGTTATACTGTATTTGTTCTCTTTCTGTTTCTGTTGTTAGGTCTTGGTTTTCTATATTTATATTTAGTTTTTTTTTTGGCTGTTCTTTCTCAGCTTTCTCTAAAATTTTTCTTGTTAGTCATAAAAATGTCACTTTATTTGGGTTTTGATTTGTAAGCTATGCATTATTTCATCTTCTCTATCTGGTACTGTGTATGTTTTGCTCGCCTCATTGAAAAAAATTTTGTTATACACACTATTCATAGCCTAGTATGCTCTTTTTATAAAGAGTGCTTATAAACTTTCTTTATACTCTACAAGAAGATTTTTGTTCATATTTATGACTCTATTTTTCTAAGATGTTCTATTATGTATTTGTTGTATTTGTTTGTTTGTTCCACAAGTGACTTGTTTATCCTATTCTATTCTATAATCTTGCACGTGTTTGTTTTGTCTAAGCTGTACGTGTTGTTTGTGTAATCCAAACAGATCTATATATAAGGTCACTAGCAATCTCCTAAGATTTTTTCTTTTTACTAAAATTTCTACAAAAAACTTTGGTTTTCTTCTATAGCTATCTTATTAATACTTGCAGTACTTTTTGCTTCTAGGCTTATTTGTTGCTTTTTTTGTTGTTGTTACTTTTTCTTAGTGTTGCCAAGAGTGTTATCTATTGCTGTTAGTGCAAAAAGTTGATTTCTTTTTTGTATTCAAGTAATTGTCGGAGAGAGTGTTGTTATTATTAGTTATTATTATTTTATTATTATTATTAGTTATTATTATTTTATTATTATTATTAGTTATTCTATTATTGTATTATTATTATATTACTAGTAGTTGCTAGAACTTTCCAGTTGATTAGTAATTGCTTAGTCACTTAGTTGCTTAGTCGCTTAGTCACTTAGTCACTTAGTTGCTTAGCTACTTAGTCACTTAGTCACTTAGTAATTAGTTGTTTAGTAATTATTAGTTATTAGTTGCTAGAACTTTTTGGTCACTTAGTAATAGCTTAGTTGCTTAGTTGCTTAGTTGCTTGGCCACTTAGCCACTTAGCTTACAGATATATAAACCCTGCTAAATTTACCAAGTATGATTAAGCAATAGACACTTCTCTTTTTTTTAATATTATAAACACATCTTGGAATTCTTTAAGAACAGAAACCTAAGAATAGCCCTTCTTGTTATTACTTTAATAAACAGCTTTTGACTATAAACTATATTGATACTTTTTCTTAAGGGTAATTCCTACAGAAAAGGTTTATTTTCTCTTAGTAAAATAAAGTAAAGTTATTAATATTGCATTACCTTTCCCAAACTGCTTCAAAGAAAAGTATAATTTCTTGATAACATCTAACAGAAGTTATATTTTTCTTTTAGACACTGCATATACCCATAAGGGATTCCTTATGCCATGTTGTCATTATAGTATGAAATTAAGAAGACTTTCATCTATAACACTATTTCTTAAAGAATTGACAATTTATTTAATTTACTAAGTTACTATATTCCTTTTTATTAAAAGTTAAATACAATACTAAATTATTATATAATATTAAAATTTAAATTATTTATAAGAAGAAATGTAGTAACTTAGTGAAGTAAATAAGTTGTCAACCTTTCAAATAGTAGGTTATAAGTTTACAACCACTAATATCAAAACTTTTGATAATTACCTATATAATATACAAATAGTATTATGATGATGCCATTTTGTTAATTAGTTAAAATAAAATATCTGTAACTATGATTACATCAATATAACTAATAGATTATAAGATATCTATACAATATTGAAATTATATAGAAAAATGCAAACTGACATTGAGTAGTGCAAATTTAAGATAAATTCTTGTGACTATATAAATCTATAGAACTGAAAAGCTGAAGCCTACTTGGAAAGATCCAAGTAAAAAAGTAATACAGATCTTTAATGATACTACTATAAAAGATAAATCTAAAAAATATATATTAATATAGAAGAAATTAGACAAACAAAAATCTTAGATAAAAAGTATCATCGATAAGACTATTAGAAGTTTCAAACTAAGAAAAAGAATTTTGAAAAATAAAAATCCAGAATATTAGAAACAGGTCATAGTTCTTTTAAAATATTTGAATTTAGAGTCTAAAAACTAAAGTAAGCTATAATTTAACTACTAAGAATATGCTATAAAGTCAGTACTGAAGTCTAAGTAAACTTTACAAAAACAAGCTCTGTTAACAAAGATTAAATATAAGTAGTTAGTTAGCAGAAAGACCTACTAAAGCCTTATAGTTAGGTGACATATTCAAAAATATATAATGGCTTAATAGATATACAGACAGAAAGGTCAAGATTAGGTTAGATGACACTTCAGTATATAAGAACTTGTATGCTATCTGTTAGATATAATATAGAAATTACCTTGTACAAGTTATATAATTATAATTAAATTATAATAAAAAGCAATAGCTACTAAAACTAATGACCTTAGTAAAAGCAAAAAAAAAAAACATCTGCAAGAATAGTAATAACAAATCTGACTTAAAATATAAATTGGTTAAAAGCCTAATTATAATAATAGATCTAACTTAAAATATGAGTTTATTGTAAATTCTAAACTATTATTAAACTATCTTAAAAGAATTAATAACAAAAATACCAATAATAAGAAATTATAAAGATTAGATATACTCAAGTAAAACTAATTTGAAAGTAGTATAATAACCAAAAGATGAAAAATATAAGAAATAAAATATTATTAAATATAATTAAATTAGAAAACAGAAGAAATAAACTTAGATAAAATATATAAATAAAACATAAATATGATTACAAAAAATATTATTATTAACATTAAAATACAATTGTATTATATCACATTTAGAACCTAATAAACCAACTGGCAGTATCATCAAAATTCAAAAAAAAATGTAATTGACCAAATTTAAACTAACTTTAAATTATAAAAAATTATCAATAACTCAAATTAACATAAATTTCTTGCAACATTTTACTATAAGCTTCTCTTTCTATTCACAACCTAATCCTACATAACCCTATACGAAAAAACCGGGTTATTTTAGGTTGGTTTGATTTACCGACAACATCGCATGCGCGATGTATCAATTATTTCTTTTATTAAAATATATAATCTTTTTTAATTCTTTAAAAACATTCTTAACACCTATAATTATATATTTTTAAATTAATTTATTAGTTCTTAATACTTGGCCATAGTTGGGATACTTGGGAATAGTAAAAAAAGCCTGAGACAGCGAAAATGTACAACACTACCCTAAAGTAAATAAATTTGGAGCTACCCGCCAACAAAACACTAATAAAATTTTCACAATCACGTGCCGATCAACAAGAATTGGCCAATAATTAATCATGTATTCGTGTAACGTGACACGATCAGAAAAGTTCGTTCGTTTTGACAAAATCGCTTGTTTCTCGAAAATTTGCATAAGAAGCTACCTTTGTGCCGTAATAAAAAGCTTTCCTTGAGCAATTTTGTACTAGAACCTTTTTTCTAACCTTTAAATGAAATCTAACTCAAACATAAATGAACTTTAAAGAATTTTGAAGACTATCACGTTTTGTTAAGTGTGGTAACATATCACGTGATCGTAAAATCTTTCCTACACCCATCGTTCCTGACCTTATATCAAGTATTACAATTCCGAGAATAGTCTTAATTAGTTGTATGCAAACGACATAAAATTTGAACTGGTTAAAAAAGATTTGTTACAGTAAAACCAGTTATTTTTTTGGAAATCAAAGGCTCAATATTTAATCATTTTGAAACAAACTCTGCAAAAAAATTTCATCAAAATTATTTGTAGCGGTAAAATTGGTGCACTGTTACCTTTACACTAACCCGAATCGACAATATTAAAAAAAAAAAGGCACATGTATGCATAATCATAGTCATAATTATTGTCAGTCAATAGAAACTGTGGGAAAAAGTTCCCCTCCCTAACATGACTTAATTCTAACCCTAAAGATTTCATTACACCTGATTTTTCGATCTAATTGGATAAAAATCACGAGGAGAGGAGGGGAGCTACCAACTATACGACATTTGAAGTATATGATCTTATATTGCTGTATTGAGTGCCTGCCTAGAAACTCTCGATATAAAAAAAGATTTGGTTGAATCCGGAAACTTTCTTATCATTGAGAGTCACTTTGGCATGTCTATGGTATCCCGTTCAAATTTACATGGCTATTACTTAGTCCATATGTTTACAATCAGTACTCGGTGATAATAAATAACTATATATCAATATAGAAAGAAGCCTTACAAGATTAATTATGTAAAAATAGCACTAATTTATCGGACCATCTTTAATTCAGAAAAGTTCACACAAGTTGTAAAATTAAGTTATACAAGATAATGTAATTTATGATACATTCAGTTTCTTGCTTCCATGTATTAAGATTATACAATACCTTTCAGTTCTAAAGGTCTGGATCGTTCTATAGGTTACAATATATAATTGGCATTTTAACTCTGCAGTTCTTTGGGATTCAAAACTTTCTTGCCGTACACTGAAATGAGTTTTGCTAGAGCTACCTATCAAAACCTTAACGTTAAAGATCAAATAAGTAAGCTAGATAGACATGCACTGAGCATAAACGATAAACAAGGAAAAACCGTTTATAGGTTAGATTAAACCTTAAATTCAGTATTGTGTCTCGCTTAGAAGTATGTTTGATTAGTAAATTATCACATGATTACAAAGTCGATCATATTTATTTGCTTATTGTATCAAGTACCGCCTAAATTCTTTTTTTTTATTGAGTGAAGGTTTGTATAATTCTATGCAATGCTTAACGGTTGTGACTTGATTTGACCTTTTTCATCAAAATAAGTTGCAAAATCGTATCGAACTTATTTAGATAAAGAAAGCTAAAGTAAATTTGATTCCATTATTTAGTAATGGACATATCTAAAAGTACGAGTGTTACCAGAGAAAGTTCGATCGATCCGGAAGAGCCAACACGCAATAAAAGCAGGAACAGTCGAAGCATCAGAAAAGCTAATGGCGGCGGCTCCAGAGGATTTAATAAACGTACGCAAAAAAATAAAGTAGTTAAGGTCACAAATAAATCCGTTAAGACAAATAAATCACGTAACAAAAATAGCAACAAAGAGCAACCACGGATAACAAAAGAAAGTACGACCAGAGTAGTTTATCAACAAGAAGAAACACCACGGGAAGAAATCCCTTACACCGAATTTTTACCTGATTTGAAATTAGACGAACAACTTGAGATTATTCACACATTAACTGACATTATAGATAACAATGATCAGAAAACGTCGCAGGGACTTTCACAGTTACCGAACACTGTTAATTTACCAAATCCAGATGAATATAACGAATTTAAATTAGTCCAAGGCGTAGGGGTATTGACTGACCATCAGGATAATTTATCATATATTAAAGAAAATTCAAGTTCTGTAACTACGCCACACGAGGACATGGACGAAGACACAGTTCAAGATGATGAACAAGATCGGCCTTCAGATATTGATCAAGCTGTTGATATGCAAACAGAAATCATGAATGAACAGATGGACTTGGAATATTCGACACCTGCGACTTCAGAAACTGCCACTGTGGCAATAGATACTTTGGCCATTGTGGAGCCTAACCATGATTCCATACAAAAAGCGCCTCCAATACATTCTTATCGACGTATAAATTGCAAAAAATTCGAAAAAGAACCATTCGTTAGACCCGAAGGACACTATATTCGTCATGTCGGTAGGTATAGCTCATTTTTATTATTTATTTTTCTTTTCAAATTGTGACTCTAATCATTAATTCTTAAAACCTAAGAATTGACCGAAAAAGATCTCGTAGAAATAGTCGAATATGATATGGATGAACAAGGTAATATTTTTATAAAATTTATTTTATAATATGATTTCGTAATATTCATTTTTGTATTTATCCCTTTGGATAGATGATATATGGTTAAAATCACTTAATCAAGAAAGGAAGCGGGAAGATCTTGGAGAACTTACAGCTGATGTTTTTGAAGCTTTGATCGACCGCTTGGAGAAAGAATGGTTTGATCTGGTAATTAATAATTATGAATGAATGGTCCGTTAATCATCTGTTATCTTATTATTGTTCGAAGCGTTAGCGTAGGATCGCTTATTTTTTGACATGATGTCTTTATACGGCTGACTTCCATCAGTTCATATGTCCACGACCTACACATATCTATATCTTTGCTTAAGCATTCATTTATTAAAAGTATCACGAGAGAGATATATTTTCCGAATATTCAATTTATTATAAATAGTATTGAGCAATTTTGCTTCGAACTTCGATTGCTTCCGTTACCAATTTCATTTAAAGATTTACTTTTACATTTTAGACAAAAAACCTGCCAAAGGGCCAAGGAGAAAAAGAGAATCCCGAAGACTCTACATGTGCAATTTGTGATGATGGTGAATGTGAAAATTGTAACGCCATAGTATTTTGTGACGGTTGTAATCTTGCTGTTCATCAAGGTAATTTTTAGATACAACACTTAAAATTTTTTATCAAATACTAACTGCTATTTATTTCTGCAGATTGCTATGGTATTCCATATATTCCTGAAGGTCAATGGTTGTGTCGCAAATGTATTGTCTCACCAGAAACCCCGGTGGTATGTTTCAAAAACTTATACTGAAGGCAATGTCTATGTTGCCTTAAGATTTATTTTTCCCTCATATTTTACTTTATTTTATTGATTTTTTTTACAAATTTAGTCATGCATATTCTGCCCTAACGAAGGTGGCGCTTTTAAGAAAACGAATACAAATCGCTGGGCACATTTACTTTGCGCTTTATGGATTCCAGAGGTTGGGCTGTCTAACCCTGTATACATGGAACCTATCGATAATATAGAGGGAATTCCACGTGGCCGATGGAGACTGGTAAGCCTATTTTTATATGAACTTATATTCTAGCTGAAAGTTAATATCAATTTCTTTACTATAGAAATGTTATATTTGTGAGAAAAAAATGGGTGCATGTATTCAATGTCAAAATACACACTGTTGTACAGCTTTTCATGTCACTTGCGCGAGAAAAGCAAGGCTTTGCATGCGAATGAAATTCCCAGATCCCAATAGTGATGCCAATCAAATGAAGGCGTATTGCGATAAACATACTCCGGTACTATAAACTCTTAATCTATCGTAACTTTCAGATCCTTCTTCATATAATTTTTTAATATTGTTTTACCCTTTAGCGCGATTATAGAGAACAAGTTGATGTTTCCCAATCAGTTGCTAAAGCACAGAGTCTTTTGATTGATCCTGTACCGGCAGCCAAAAAACGTAGAATAGAGGTTGATGTAGACGATGATGATTCAGATGAATATATTCCTAGTGATGATGAAGACGATGATAGAGATTTACGTGAGAATAGTAGGTCTGATATCTCAGCTTCCCGTAAGACACGGAAGCGTAAGGAATCAGACAGTGCTTCGTATCCACGAAAAACAATTAAAGTCAATCCGCAAGAGTCTGAAAAACGTTTATCTAATAAATCTGTTGAAAGTTCAAAATCTGCACGTGCATATAATCGCTCTTACATGGAGACGGCCCTAGTTGCACCGGCGATCATAATGGATAGGCTGTTGCCTGTTTTGTCAATGCATAAAGGACAGCTTAGAAGAAGACAAGAGATGATTGCGACAATATGTAGATATTGGTCTTTGAAAAGGGAAACCAGGCGTGGTGCTCCATTATTAAAGCGTCTCCATCTTGAAGTAAGAAAAAAAAAATTTTTATACCCAACTTTATAGTAAATTACAACTTAGTGGTATTTTTTATTTTTATAGCCATGGACTGCATCTGCATCAGCTCACAAACAGTCAGAAGAGGAAAAAATGGCCAAATACTCGGTACATTTTACTTATTATTGTTGATTTGTCTTTCGTACTGAATATTTATCAAGTCAAATATTCGTAGGCTATGTTGGATCTTCGCAAAGACTTGGAAAAAGTGAGGATGCTGATCGATTTAGTACACAGGCGTGAAAAAGAAAAGTTGAAGCGAAATAGATTGCAGGTTAAATACCTGGAAACCATAATTTTCCCACTAGATTACATTATTGGACCGGTTTTAGACACCCTTTCTAGGTATCTATTGAGTTTCGTGTGCCATATCTGTTTAATAGATATTACAAATATATATCTTATCTAGTTATCATTAAATAGTTTGGATAAAAATGAAATTTTTGCAAAACCTGTCTCGTTGGAGGAAGTACCAGATTACCTTATACATATTAAGCATCCAATGGATTTTGGGACAATTCGGAAAAAAATTGAAAATCATGAATACAGTCTCGGCTCCGGTATGCAAGGATTCAAGGTAATGAGAGTTATTTTATATGATCCAAGAAATTAGATTTAGGGTATTCATGATAATTTATCATTAACTTAGGATGATGTAGAATTGACATTTCAGAACGCTATGACCTATAATACGTCCAACACTATTTATTATAGAGTTGCTAAAAAATTACGTCAGCAATTCCAAATAATAGCCGAACAAATGGAGAAAGATTATACTGAGTTGAACATAGATCCTTCTAAAGGAATTTTAGATGTTGAAATTCATCCGGAAATTTTCACCTATAATGATAAACCACTTAGATTGGAAAAAGAAGTCATCAAATCTACTTCTCGCCCAAATCGTGTAGTTAATTCGAAACATCAAAACCAGGATAGTTTATCTCGTTATCCACAAAAAAATCGAGAGACGAGATCTACAACGATGAATCGGAAAAAGAATGCCAAAGACAGGAACAAATCAAATACACCTATTATTTTACATCATAAACCCAGAGCTCCTAAAGGATGGGTGTATTTAACCGATGATGAAGAGGGGGAAGAAAAGGGGGAACATATTCAAATTGTTTCAGAAAATTCAAGTCAATATCTTAATGACCTTGAAGAAGATAAAGCCACAATTTCCTCTCGAACTAGGTCTCGAAAAGACGGGTTATCAAATCTATTGAAAATGGACCATGAAAAAGAAAGCTCAACAGCCAAATTAGTCAAGGCACAGATAGAAAGATCTACAAGAGGATCGAAACGGCAGGCAGAAAGATCTGCAAAAGTAGAGCAGGTAGATAATCCTGAAATAGTCGAGATGACACCTGACAATTCAATAAACGATACAGCTGAAATAAAGGCACTAAAGGAACATTTACAAATGCTAGCTAAGGAAGAAGCGGAGAAGCCAGCTGGTAGGTATGAATGTCTTGTATTATTATTTTATTATGCTGGACGGATTACCACGACTAAACTTGTTAAATTTTATTATTGAATACTTGTTGATAGCAACTCGTACTCGAGCTCGAAGTCAGAGGAAAAACGAAGATTTAAACAAGAACGATTCTGTAAAAAAAGATCTTTCGTCTTCAATGGGGGTAGAGTCTAATTCAGAAATAGTACAGTCAAGCCGTTCTACAACTTCGGCCGAATTATCAAATGTTCCCTATGGTAGCTTAGTCTGGGCAAAAATGCAAGGCTTTCCATGGTATCCAGCTGAGGTATTATTACTGCATTATCTTTTCAAGTTTTTTTATTTCGACAACTAGATTCACTGACTATAATTAAATATAGGTTGCAGATCCAAATGGGCCTGAAGTCACCGAAGCGATCAGATCAGATAAAAAAGAAGGTGATCATTATTTGGTTCGCTTTTTCGATGAGAAAAAAGAAAAGAAGAAATCTAGACGCAGTTGGTTAGTACATTAATATTATTTATGGAAATTTATAACCCTGAAAATTTACTAACAAATTTCCTGTTAGGAAATGGGTTCCGGGGACTAAAGTTATCCTTATTGGAGATCTGCAAACGGACTTGGCAAAATTAAGGGATAAATCAATGTCAAATACAATGAAAAAGGAAGTTCCCAAAGCGTATGAAGCGGCATGTATGTCTCGAGGTATCGAAGCCGTTGTTTTAAAACAACTACAACAACTTCCGGTAGTGCCTCTTAAAAAACATAATCGTAAATAATTGTAAGCTACTTGTTTCGTCTTTATGACGGACACCTGTAAATATATGATTAAGTTACAAAATTTTGTAGTAATTTTGTTATAATACGGATTAAGACAAAGTATTACTAAATAAAAGAGTTGGTTTTACTTATTTAATGTGGTTTACGAATAAATTTTACATTCGAAATTATCGTTACAGTCGTTGCCAAAAAATTTTCCCGATTTAAATTGTGAAAGTACATTAGAGGTTTGTAATTCATCGCATTACTAACAACATGGTCAACTGCAAAATGTAACATGAAATCAAAATGATTAGATTTTGTTAAAAAAATTGCTTAGAACTTTTTACAAAATATTATATAAAGTATGTGGTTAAAGAAAAATCTTGTAAAAACCATTTATTGATAGATTGTGATATTATTAGCTTGTATAGAATTTGAGATATAGACTATAATTCTTGATAATATCAAATAAGAAAATTGTTAGCTAGATTGATTTGAAAGTTATTTGTTTGTTTGTTTAAAAGCATTTTGATTTTATAAATTGTTGTAGAAAAGGTATTAGTTAAGACATAAAGAATTAATTGATACTTAAAATTGAAAGCATTAGTAATAAAGTTTATGATTATATTAAGAAAGGATAATAAAAAGTTATTAAAGATTTATCCCTTAAACTGTTTTTCAGGTAAATTTGCCTGAATTTTTAAATTAAATTTAGTATTTTTTAAAGATTTTGTTTAAAAATTTTTATTATAAAAAATTTCTTTAAAACTTTTCAAAATTTTATGTTTCTGAAGCTAAAAAAAATTTTATTCTTAATACAAGTCTAAATTTTTACAAGTAAATTAAAAAAGTTGTATTAATA